GGGCTGAGCATTTTGTCAGCCCTGCTGTCACCACCGAGGGCTGCCAGCCCAGCAGAGCAGAACATTCCTCATCCACAAGGAGATGCACAGCTCTTGCATCAGCATTTAGATGAGAAATCTAGAAAAGATTTAGAAAAGAAACTCTTCTTTTCTCCCCTTTCAGTGAATTATGGCATTTATTCACAATGATTGTTTTTGTGTAGAAAGTCAGGTAAACAAGGCTATATCTGCAAAGTCACTTATTTTGTTAATGCAATAGGGGAAGGAAAACATTCCTGGCATTATGGTTTTATCAGCTTATAAACATGTGGGAGAAGCCTGCGTGCCTTGGAATAACAGCAGGAACAAGAGTGGGAAAGGAAACACTGGGATCTGGATGCTTTAGTAAAGACAACCCATTGTGACCTCACAGCTTTTCCCACTCCTCACCTCTGCAAAACACTATCAAATATTCTTTAACCTGATTTTTATAATTAATTTTTTCATTCTTTATCAACCACTTACCCAGCCCTCTCTCAAAGGGAATTTAGGAGTGACAAAAGCAACAAAGAGTGGGATTTCCTGTGCTAAATCCAAAAGGGAGGTTTGAAGGCTAAAAAAGGTTGTTCAAAAGGTATCAAGTGTGCGTAATTTGTGGCAGAAGGAAAAATTGAGAGCCATCATCTGGATTTCCTTCTGAAAATCCATTTCTGACACCTACAGAAGTGCCTTGCCAGCCTCTGAAGTCCCAAGGGCTGTGACAAGGACTTCAGCCATGAACCTCTCCAGGTTTATTGTGCCCAGGGCCATTTCTGCCCTTCTTTGACCAAAGCATTTGAGGTCAGCACTTCAGGCACGCTGTCCCATGCTCAGCCACCAAGAAATGAGAGAGGACATTGTGGCTGAGAATGTCACTCCTGCTTTCCCTTCTTTATCTTTCTTGGAAAAAGGGACAAAAACGTGACATGCTGGGACATGTCAGATCTGCATCTCTGCAAAAAAAAAGCTCATTCACCACTCAGCACATTTGGAAATCTCTCTGCACAGAGCAGACACCTCCAGATGTCTCCATCAGTGACGTTATTTATAAGAGCAGCTCGTTAGGCTAATTGCTCCTGCAGGGATTTAACTCCACTGAGGGAGCCTGAACAGGGCTCAACTGTTCCAGAGAATTTGCTGCCACTCCTCCCTTTGATTTACACCTCTCGTAAAATTTTATGGCCAGATTAGAATGAACTTCACTTGCACTGTGGTTTAATAAAAGTTTTTTTTTTGTGCCGAAGAAAAGCAAAAATCGATGCGGTAACTAATTACAGCTTTAATGAGGGGAGGAAAATACCTCAAAAGGGGAGACCCAAAAAGCCCCCCAGGACAGAGACTTTGCTTAGACACCTGAGCTCAGAGGCTGTTGGGAGAGCAACAATAAAAAAGTCAGATTTTAGGGAAGAGGAGCTTGGGATGGAAAGAGCAATGTGGGTTTTTATGGCAGATGTGAGGGAGTTGGGGTTCCAGTAAATGGGAGAAGGGAGTGAGCAGTTATCAGTCACTCTGGCTGGAATGTCTCTGAGTTATTTGGCTGCTGAGCACGTTCTTCTGGAGGGAAAAGTCCACTTTGGAAATAATCAGTTGCTTTGCAGAGATAATTTGGCCATACAGTGCGTTTCTGTTGATAAATTACAGAGCTCCCTGGGCTACACTTTGCTTCACCAACTGTAAAGCTACAACATAAATCCAAACAGAAAAAAGGACTTTTTTTTCCTCCCTTTCTTTCTGCCAATGAAATACAATGTCACTGAAAATGCCCTTTATAGCTAAGAACACATGAAAAATTGCAAGAAGGAAGGAGAATAAATAAGCATGGTAAAATATTTACCATTCTAGACATCAGTAGCCAGGAGCAGATTGATGGGAAATGCTCAGTTTGGGGCTGACAGCCTTTAAATGACCTCTTTACTAGGCCTGAATCCTGAAATTCAACGTGCAGGGAGCTCCAGGGGGAGGTGCAGGGGTTTTTTGGGAGCATTTTGCCGTGACAGCAGCAGGAATTACAGGTGCTCCCTCCTCCAGATGCTGGGGAAGCAGCTCATCCCAAGCCGGCTCCAGCTGCCCCCCTTCATGCACATCACATGCTGCATTTCACTCCTGGCCAGGGCTCACCTCCATTTATTGCTTTTTTGGCTCAAAATTAATGCTTTTGGGCTGCAGAAGCACTTCCCAAGATGGATTTTTCCGCTGAGAAAGGAGCCACAAAGTGAAGGACCACTTCATATGGTCAAAGCGTGGGGCTTGGGAGATTTATTTTAAATTAAATAAGTTATTCCATCTGTCCTGGACACAGGCTTGCTCTAAAGTAATTTGAAATCCAGGGAGAAAACCCCCACAGTCAATTATTTCAAGTCCTTGGAGCTGAAATACCCTACCAGTAGTTCATCACCTGGCAAATAAACCTGCCAGCTCCAAACTTTATTAATCATTTTGCTGTACCCTGCTTGAACTTTTCCCAGCTGAACTCAGGAGTGCTCTAATTCTCCACCCACTGGTACCAAAAGAAACAAGAAGAGGACAAAAGGAGAGTGATGAAGGCTTCATCTCTGCCTCCTCCACTGCAGGAACATGAATTTCCAGTAATTTGGGGAGACACATTTCCCCACAGCATCCCTACTTCTAAGCCCAGTTTCTGGAATTAGGAAATAGCCAGACCAATCCCGTCCTTGATGGGATTTTTTTAAAATTTTTTGCCTGGACAGGGAATTATTTTTATAGTGATTTCTCAAACTGTGATTCCAGAGTCATAATTAACATTTTTTCTCATAATCTACATGCTCTGACACCTCCAAAACCTTGCTTTATTATGTGCCTGTCTTCCACCTTCTAAATGTTAATGTTTTAGCCTTGAAGAAATAAGTGAAAGGGAAAGAGATGACAAGAACTCCACAGAAAAAAAGGAACAGATGTTCCTGAGATCATAGCAAAACAAGCCACACACTTAATAGGAACAAACTGTGATGTATAACATCATTATTTTCCTAACCTTTCTAAAATTACCTATTTGACTGATTTCTGAGGTGTAAAAAGAGGCAAAAGGCCTTCCCTCCTGTCAGAGTACCATTGTCTGGAGAAATTTAGAAGCTCCCTGTTTCAGCACCTTGAGACCACGAGAGCACAGACAGATTTAAGACATCTTTGAGTTTGTGCAAGGCTCACAGGAATGTGGCCATTAATACCCCTGTAACTGGAGAAGGGTTTGTGGAGGCGCAGCTACAATCCAAAGCTCTGAATCAGTGCCAACCCCAAAAGAAATGCACCCAAAATTCAGCTTGGCTCATCCAGGGGTGCTTTGGGATGGAAGGAAGGGCACAGCACCTGCACCTGCTGGGGTGCAGCTCAAGGGCAGGAGCGCAGAACAGGGATCAGGTTATTAATTAGGGAATTAATTAAGGAATGGGGATCTCTCTCAGCTGCAGGAGGATGCTGATAAAACCAGCCTGTCACAGCACACTGGGCTTGCAGCACCCCAGCCTTGTTCAGTGACACATCCCAAACTGGGACATGCATGTCATAAATGCAGGGGGAATAATTTTATATTCATGCACCCATTCTGCAGAAAAAGTTGTTGTAGCATTAACTGTAAGAACTGCCTGAGAAAGGAAAAATTATTCTTTAAATTCTATTAAAATTTCTTCCTCTGTCAGCCTAAACAGGGATTATAAAAACACAGATATGTGCACCCAGATTTCACGGTTTTCTGAAATAGAATGGTGGTACTATTCTAATTGTAAGGTGTCTTTCCTTAATTTCTTCTCTCCACACTTACCACTCAATTTATTTTTTTTTACATGTTTTAAGTATGTTTAATTTTCAATAATTAATGGCAAGATTCATCTAGGTAGGGAATACCTACCTCAGGCCAGTGACTAATCTGGATGCTGTGGTTAATAAAGCACCTACAAGGGAATGATGAGGAATTCAGATCCCTTTGTAGACTGGATTACCAGACCCTGGCTTTCCTTCAGACAAGGGAAAATCATGTTTTTACCACTTATTTCACTGGCCATTAATGCTGTTCCTAGAGGACACCTCATTTAGATGTGCTTGCTCCTGCTCCTTCCACTTCATGTTTTACACAGCCACAGACAAAACTATCAAATCCTGTAACAGGTTTTTCCCACGTTTTAATGAATATAACAACCAGAGAGCTCAGAAATATACAGTTTTTATTTCAAAAACTAATCTGAGAGAAGAGAGGAGCTGCTAAATTGGGTCAGTGATCCACGTAGCCTGAGGTCCTGGTCGTCACGGTGGGGAGCAGCTGAAGTTTAGGAAAAACACCAAAGGACAGAGCATGGAATGATCCCTCCCAGTGCATTCCTCCTGCAATCAGACTTCCTTCAAATTGCCTCCAGACCACCCTGGTTAGCAACTGAAAGCTGCACTAATAAAAATAGATCTCATTTCTCTCCAAATCCTTTTATACCCTTGACCTCCCCAGCATCCTGTGA